GTCTATTACAAGAATTTTTTTGCTCTTGAAAAGTATGAAATTATGATTTTAATACTTCAAAAGAATATTGACATATTGCTCTTAAAGAAGGAATAATAAAATATAACACGCTCTCGAAGTAGCAGGCATATTTGGTTAAAAATAAGGAATATTTTTGGATTTACGTGTAATATTTTTATTAAAAAATGTGTAGTTGAAATAATGTCAAATTACAGCTGAAAAATGTATTTTGGTGAAAAAATGGGGCTCAAACTAGGACTATATATCTTTTTGTATTCCTTAAAAAGCAAAAAAATTATATATTTCAATATTCTAAAATAATATTATAATTAATTTAAATTTATCAATATTCTGTAAGAATATTGTTGTACTGCTTATAAAATATCATAATCAAGTATATATCAATATTCCTAAGAATATCGTGTCGTCACTCTTGAAGAAGCCTGACTCTATATTAAAATAATATTTTACATGAATATTTTGCTAATACTTTTGAAAATATATTATTGTTCTTGAATAACCACAAATTTATACATATCATATTTTTATTAGGAATATTATATTATTGATTTCGAAAGAGAATAATTATTATAAAACAATACTCTTGAAAAATATTACGTGGTTATACTTGAAGAATCATTAATTTATACATTTAATATAAATATTGTATTTATCCTGAAGAATTGCAGTTTAAATTAAACTAATAATAAAGAGGCAAAATTGTATTTATATCAATATTCCATAAGAATACTATTTTACTACTCTGAAAGAGTCAACAATAAATTATGTGTGAGAATACCCTTTTATTTTTTATAGTAATTTATTCTATGTTAAATTGAAGTGAAACCTACAAAGTTTCTAATAGCATTTCTTAATTGGTACACTATAGTAATATTAGTACAATTGAAACAAATATTGTATTGAATCAAAAGTTAGACCATAACTGGATCAATAAAGGCCTAAAATGAAAATTCATGAATATTTATTGAAGAATCAGAAGATTATTCAATCTATTGAATTGACATATAATGCTTGTTCAGTATAGATTGCTCATTGACCATTGGCTGTCACTAACTTAAAGTTGGACATTTAATCTTGACAATTAATTAGGTTGATATAGGGCCCTCATCATCCTTATGTTAACCATCTAAATATTATTTATATTTATTAAATATGATACATCTACTACATGATATTCACTACCTAAAGATTGCGAAATGATTGTTTAAATTTTAAATTATGAGCATATTTCAGATTTTACAATTAAGAAAGTATGTCTTTTTAATGCAAGTGAATATAATTTCAACTTTTTAATTAGTATGACAATAAATGATTTAACAATGTTGTTTGTTAAATACATTCAATTAATTTATAAACCATTACCATTGAGAACAAAGAGCTTCCCAGTTCTATTTAGGAAAGTGCTATTAGCATCATGCCAACATCAAATTTTTTCCTATTACATTTGACTTGTGGTCAAAGTCTAATAATTTCGATAGTGCAATATATGTACAATTGATTCACCACCATGTACTGAAATGAAAAGTAAAAGAATGCTATGAATAAATATGTAGTTTGAACTCTTATACAATATCTCAAACTCTAATTGATGATATTCTATAATGCAATTTGCTAATTGTTAATTTAATTTAATAGTTCTCTTCACATTAGGACAATGAATGAAGAAAATGAAAATAATGTGTAAATGCATCATTATAATATTTAGATCTTCACAAAAGACAATTCGAACAGAAGTTTGAAAGATGAATCATTTAGATACATTTATTGATCAAAGAGATCAACAATATCTTACATAGCGATTTCAAATGTTCCAACTCAAATTGACATCTTGAAAGGACAATTAATTAATATTATATTTGATAAATCTCTGACACACCTAAAGTGTAATGACATTTGATTCAATATATAAATCTCAAAAAGAAAATTGAGCAATTAATTAATATGGTCCTCTTAAGGAAGTACATACTCTTATTAATATATATACATAATTAAATGTAAAGCTCCAAAAGAAGTCCAAGTACCTGGAATGTTGAAATTTGAGATATCTCCATAAATTATTAATCGAAAAGAAAAATTCTTTGACAATATATATATATATATATATATATATATATATATTAATAATATAGTGCTTCATAATGAATTATAGCGATTGAAGAACATTCTTCAAAGAATACTCAACGTTTGAATAATTGGTCAAATAAAATGATGCAATTCTAGCAAAATTGAACTTACTAAAAAAACCTAAAATTTTTGAATCTACAATCTGAACACCTAAAATAAAATTGTAATATGTAATACATGAATCTTAAGATAAATTTTACAAAAAATTGTATAAATAAATGAATTATTCGATGATGGATGTAATCACAAGTCTATGAGTCTATTTTATAATAAATGTGGATAGATTTAACTCATCTGGCATGGCTATTAAGACTATCCTTGAAGAATTTTATATGCTTGAAGCATTTAATTCAATTAATATTATCATGAGTGGAAGTAAACACGCGGCATATTCTTTTTTCTTTGACCAAAATTTTGTTCCATTGAGTATTCTTGATAAGGTTCTTAATGAGACAACTTTTGTGATGTGTTCAAAGGAATAATGTATTTTTTTCCTTCATTATGTTTTTCCCCCATGGGATAATAAGGTTTTAACTAGATATATTATTTGTAATAAATATCTATAACTGTCAAAATAATTTCTTTTTATATTACAAATTTTGTATAACTCTCAAATAGAGCAACAACATAATTTATTTTTTAACATTTTATTATACTAACTGATGACAAACTAAGATTGATAAATCTCATCTATAAAGACGATATAGCTTGAAAGCTATAACAAGACAATATGAAACATGCTTCATAAGAATTACAATATTGAATATAACATACAAGACATGAACATTTGATACAATAAATTTCATTTATTGAAATCAGGGGGAGTCTTGTACTCCTTTACCTTAGTTTAAATTTTGTCCCATTGAGTTTTTTTGAAAATATTTTAAGGAAGCATATCTTTTATGATGTATCATTCAATAGGAAGTGCGGCAAATTATAGGTTTATTAGTGAATGATCATTATACTTTTGTAACAGTAATTATTTTGACTAATATATTACTTGCATCTCTAATCTTATAAATATAGGACTTTGGTACTTATGACATGTTTGGTAGTAATTATGAGAATTGATTTTTTGACCGTTAGAGAGAAAAGTTGGTCCCACATATAAAGAAAGAAGTAAAAAATGACGGTTGAAAAAGTAAAATAATGGTCAAAAAATTGATTTTTTTGTGAAAAATTACTACTAAACGGGGTTTAATGAAAAATATACAAGTCATTAATTTCCCCACTTCTCATTCTCTCTCTATTTTATGACAATATGAAAATTATAGCAATTCTTTAGATTAAAATGTTAAAAGAGGTATTTTTTAACACTTCTATGTCATGTTGTAGAGATAAGTGACATGTCACGAAGCGAATACGCGAAATGTTTGTTGCGTTATGGTCACCAATTAAGAAACTTCTATTAATTGTGGACAAACAAACATCGATATGGTGAAATTCGAAATCAAAATTGAAGTGAGGTAATTTAACTGAACGAAAAATTTGGATGGCCAATGCTTTGTCGTCCAATCTCGGCATTTTTGTACTTATATTTCCTTTAGTAGTAATATCAAGAAATAAAAGTTTGGAGGGCTGTAAAAATGAAAAATTAAAGAAAATAATGCCAGAATAAAAATTAAAAAGGGTAATTATATTCAAATCACAATTTTTATTCTTTGTACCACATTTTAATTAAACTTACGGTTCTCAATCTTTACTCTTTATAGCATTTTATGTCCCTGCATGGCATTCTTATATACAAAATTTCAATTAGTTAACATATTTTGTATTTGAAAATTTTTGTTCAAAAAGTTCGTTGAAATAGCATATAACAACTTATTTTTCCATCAAATTTTAAAAAAAAAATTAATAAATGAATTTCAAAGCATAGAAACAAAATATCTTAATATAAATTATCATTAAGAACGAAATGTACTAATTAATGAAAGGTTGAAAATAAGGTTTGAACAAAAAAAAAACATCAAGAAAATAATTGTTACAATAAGTAAAGATGAAGGAGCTTAGCTGCAAATAAAATATGATTTAATAAATAAAAATTACCTAATTAAAAATAGAATTACAAAACAGGGTAAAATAATCGTGACCCTCTCTCTCTCTCTCTCTCTCTCAAAAATACAAACATTGGACGCTTCAAAGTTAGTATTTTCTAAGTTTTCCTTGTACGTAAAATTCCGACAGACTGTTTCGCGTATATGGATTGATTTGATGATATAATTAATAATATATAGTTGAATTAAATTAGGACTCCAATTCTTTTGGTGTGGCCACAAGAATACATATCAGTGCAAGCAGTCTCCTTGACAGAAATTTGAGAATATTCAGTTTCTTTCTACCCCGTAATTATCTATAATCTTCTATTCAGTTTTCTTGCGCCCCGTCCCTTCATAAGATTAAGAATACTTCAACCCTCCAATGGCCTCAAATTAATTCATTAGTTGTTGATTTAAGGCTTCAAAATTCTTGATTCTATTGTGAATTTGAGATTGATTGCCGTCCAGGTATTGTTTGCCTTCCCAACCTTACTTCAGTTTCTAGGGATTTATTTTTCCCCAAAATTTTCATCTTTTGTTTCTATTCCTTGTTAGTTTAATATGTTGATTCGATTTATCTATTAAAATTGGGTATTTAGCTTATTTTGGTAATACCTTAGCTGTTGTATGTACTTGGACTTTCTTCTCAATTTTTCGTATTATTTTGCCTCGTTTCTTACTTATTAAGCCCCCGTTTGGCCCCTTTTTTGAAATGAAAAAGGGTGGAATATTGTTTTTTATTTTTAAATGAGTGGTTGAAAAAAAATAAAAAGTTTTTGATTTACATGGAATCTTATTTTATGGAAAATTTTGTGGATGAAAATGGTAGAGAGAAAAATGAAACGAAATTTAATCGGACCAAACGGGGGCTAAGATCCCCTTTCGCTCTGCTTTGTATACAACGCTCATTCTGTTATTTTGCTAAGTGTTTCCTTCCTTTGTGATTGAGTTATATGTGTGTAACTTCACTTCTGATTTAACATTTCTAGAACAATATGTTGGGTGGCTTCCTTCATTACCTATTTTTTGATCTTTTGAGTCTACCCTTTATCTATTTGTGGTAATTTATAATCTGAATTAGTTTCATTGATGTATTCAGAACACAAAGATGGCATCTTGTATGGATCAAAGCTATTTTGTAATATTGGTGTATTTGCTTAGTGAATTTATAGGATTAGGAAAAACTTATTGTCAAGTCTTGCTGTAAAAGGTAACTTAGAAAAACACTGAATTTTATCTCATATCCTTTCTTGAATTAAATTGACGAAAACCCTCATGGGCTGCAATGACCAATGCAGTCATTTTTTGGTCGCTCTCTTTGTGGGATGGTTTAACGATGCTCACTTTAGATCTTACGTGGATTATGTACAGTTTGTTTCGACGGAAAATGATTCTGCATTGAAATTTATGTGTAGAATGAGACTACATTTGATAAGCACACTTCTCTATTTAAGCCACGCATTCTTATTCCTTGGAGCTAATTCTCTCTTCAATGACTTCCATCTTTGATCAACTGGATTCTGCATGGGTTTTCTGAGAGCACAGTTTGATTAAGTTTTGAAGCATTGTGTTTGTCTTATTTTTGGTTACTTCACTTTACTGCATTTGAGTCTTCATTATGTTCTTCCCAGAGTTGAAGGAACTGTTTGCCGGAGTGCTAGTTTTAGTGTGTCTATTTAGCTCTTGCATATATTAGCTTTTGATGAGATTCCTTCTACTTGTGGTTTCTGTTTGATGGTTAAAGGCAGATATTGTTAATTGAGTTCACTATAGCAGTTTTTCTTCTGAGGACTCTACTAAAAGTTGGGAATGATGGCTGAAAAGCGGAAAAAGTGGTTAAATGCTGCCAGTTCGGTCGGCTGCACATCCACTGAACAGTATAGAGTAAAACGGACAAAACTGGAATTACAATTGTATGACTTGAACTTGAGATCTAACGTCTCTCTAGCATGGGATAACAAGAAAAAGAGTGTCATCTCCAATAAGGAGCAGATCGGCATATCGCGCAGACACTTACTTCCATTTATTGGCGATGGTCCACAAGGACAAAACATATTGGCTGATGTTTTTTCAATACCCCAGGATATATTTGACTTGGAAGATCTATCAGAGGTCCTCTCTTACGAGGTAATCAAGCCTACTGTAACTTTGATTTTTAAAGGCATTTTTTTTTCTTACAAAATATAAAACTATTCTGTATGAAACTTTATTATAGGTCTGGCAGACTCAGTTGTCTGAAAAAGAAAGAAGCCTTCTTTTACAATTTCTACCTAAAGGAGCTGATCCAGATAAAGTTATTCAAGAATTGCTTGAAGGGGATAATTTCCACTTTGGAAATCTGTTTCTCAAATGGCAAGTTTTACTAAGCGTACATTTATTTTGGGATATGGATGCATTAGTGATTCATTGTTCTAAAAACTGATTTAGACTTGTTAAAGTTTATTTTTGATTGCGAGGTTATGTTTAGTTTCTTGCATATAATAATAATATTTTGTTGTATGGCTTGAACAGTTGTTACTTTTCTTTTGGATTCTTGATATATAACTCGGTAAATTGCCCTCCAACCACCTTGAATGACATATGCACTTCTATATATTATTCTACTTTGCTGCTTGCATATAATTGATTTGAGGGTGTTTACTTCTACTACCTGAGGAAAACAAAAATATCTTACATCCCCAACATGCTCTCTATTGTATTGGATTCTGAGCTTTTCAATACAAATGTGTGGGATGGGCTCTTTTGAATTGCTCGCTAATTTGTAAAGTGTTTTTCAGGGGTGCTTCTCTTTGTTTTGGGAAACTCCACCCTGATAATATTCTTCATGAGGAACAGTCTACTAAAGCCAGCAAGATGGCACACTATTCAAATTTACAGAAGTATCATAAAGAGTATGTAGTTTTTTGTCTTCATTCACTTTAATGCCATATATTGTTATGCTTAATTAAAATTTTGCTTTAAGTTGTTTCCTCACATATTGTCATGCTTGTTGTGTCAGCATGATTAAAAATTTGCAGATTTTGAAAGAACAATGGGCTAGCTGCAAGGATAGTGGAGACGACATTTTGCAGAAAATGTGGAGGTTTTTTTATTAATATGCTCTTTTCTATAAGAATTGTTTACACAGCTTGTTTTCTGTTTGCAGCCCAATCATTAGAAAGCAATGAATGCATAGCGATGACTCAAGTTTGTTGTTTTATGTTTGGATAATGTGCAGAAAAGATGTCTTGGACAGGAAAGATGGTACTGTTTGCAATGGCTTGAAGGTGGTTACAAGACCTAGAAAAGTAGGAAAGCTGAACAAGCTTAATGTCCAGCATGATGATGGTGCCAAATACATGTCTTACATCAAGGTCGTTTCACACGGCGACATATTTTCATAAGTTGCTACTAGTTCTTTCTTTACACACTGAAATCTTTGGGGTACTGGTGCTGATTTTAATACAACAATTATTTGTGGAAGATTTTTTTTCTTCTTCTTTTAAGGATTTGAGTACTGGTCTCGTTTCTCTGTTTCATTTTAATCCTACCTGTTAATTCGTATGGGTATAACAATAAAAAGTTTCCCTTTTGCTTTCCTCATCTTGTATGCCGTTGTCATTTTGTTAATGCTTTCAAACTTTGATTGTCACATTTGGTTCTACAGGTTAGCAAGGAACAATATCAACGTGCTAAGAGTACTATGAAGCTTACCAGTAATAGCATTCAGCCAAGGTCTCTTACTAAGATTTTAGGTGACTTCAATATGCGTGCTCTACCATTTGAAGCATTTGAGGAAGAAGAAAAGATGAAGCTGCATGACTGCTGGTAAGAATTTCCCTTTTATTAATGTTGAGATTCTAAATCTTTTTCGTTGTGCCATCTCATTTGATGTTGATCATTCAGGTTGCAATTGGCACTTAAACATGTCCCAGAAGGTTTTGCTAACTGGAGAAACAGACAATTGGAGAGACAGCAATTAACACAAACCTTAGGTCCAGATTTGGGACAAAAACTGAAGCATCGAAAGGTTTTTTGCCTTTTCTTCTTTAAAATTTTCTCCTGTTGGTGGTGGAACTCCAGGCCATGGAATATAATTTTCTTGGGCTTTTTCTGTACGTTGCAAGGCCAGTTTTTTGACTTATTATTTGGTAGGCTATCCTTGACGAGGAGGAAGAGGATTCCCATGATACCCTACCAGAGCTAGCAGCAGATGATAGCAAAGAAGAAGCCACGATGACTGTTAATGGAGAAGCGGATCGTGAAATAACTATGGTGATAGAGGTTGGTTTTCACGCCCCTTTGTTTCGTTTACTCGTGTGATGGTAAAAAATCTATTTTTTTTACCATCATACAAAAATTTGAGTACTTAATATTTTGTTATGATACAATTTTAATGGATCCACTTGCCCCAAACCCCACAACAACAACCAAAAAAAAAAAAAAAAAAAAAAAAAAAGAAAGGACCTCACGCCACCGCAACCTAACCTCGCAGCACCACTCTCTACTTCACATCGCGACGAGGTTGGACCGCTACAAATGCCGTCGATGGTGAGGCGATGGAGCTATCTGTGGAGAGTTCCTTAATTTTTAAGATTTCTCTCCTTTGCACGAGTATACTATGTAATTCATTCACATTCCATTTATCCTTTAGAGTATTATAGTTAGTATAAAATGGACCGTACTCGGGAGACAAGGAGTTGATGATAAACTGTATCAAAAAAAAAAAAAAAAAAAGAAGAGAGAGAGACGTTTAAATAATTAAATTCATCCACTTAACTATGGTTCCTTATATTAGAGTGAGAAAGGAGAGAATGATTGCTTATTGAGAACCAAATGCATAATGATAGAGAAAATATCAAGGATTCTGATAATTATGCCCACATTTTCATTCAGGATCATGGTCAACAGCGGATTTCTTCACTTACTGAAAGCCCTCAGTTCAACCCTGTGGTTGAGTCTCTGAACCTGGGTTATATTCAAAATCAACAGTATGATATATCTCAGGTCAAATCCATGGACATGGAATTTAATGGCCATAATTCAATTGCAGAAACAAATGAAGATCAAATAATTGTATCAGGGTGCCCCGAAAATCTGAACCAAGTGGGTGTTAGCCAGAGGGATCCTCTCCCATCTGTTAGTGATGTTTGGGCGGCAGTTAACATGTGTGATTCCTATTATCCATCTACTTCTGAAAATGACAAATATGCTTCTACCAATGAGATGTCACTTGGGCATTTTCAGTTTATAAAGGAGCAACCAGGGAGAATGATTGATCTGGAAACAGACATGCAGGATAAAAAGGATATGTTGTACAAACAACCTGATGATATGTTTTTCTTCGGTTCATACCCTACTCAAGGCAGAGGTGAACAAATACAATCTCTCTCCAAGGGTCAGGTTATTTCACCATACCATCAAGAGCAGAAAAAATCACAGTTAGATATTCAACCAGTAGCCAATCTAATGATGGAGGCTGCTCCATTGTCCAGGCATTTCAGGGAACAGACTCATCTATCTCTTCCTCTGGGTCAGAGGCAGAATAAAATAGACGATCTTTACATGCATCAGAACCTTCAGGCGACTTTGTATTCCGATGGAGATCGGTATACTTTCTCAAGGCAGGAGCACTTGCCCATCAATGTTCATGATTGTGTGGCCATTAATACTTTATGCATGTCAGCCCCATCTCAATCCCATTTGAATGGAGCATTGATGTCTGCCCCATCTCAATCCCATTTGAATGGAGCATTGATGCCAGCCCCATCTCAATCCTTTTTGAATGGATCATTGCGTCAGAATTGGTATCCAGGTGAGAGTGGGGGCCGTGGAGGATCGTCTACCTTTGAAGGTGCCATTGGTTTGAACCACAGCATTAGCAGCGTTGGCAAGTCAGAGCAGAGTCTACACAGTATCGTGAGCGAGTGTAAGGAACTTCAATGTAGTGCGACTAATGATTCAATGCAACGATTTTTCCAGTCTGAAGACTGCGGTGGGATGGGTGGGGGGATGCCCTCAAACAGCATCATGTTGCAACAATCACATAATCCACTTCACTACTTGAGTGGCCGTGAGGCTGCTCCTGGCCTTAAGATCAATAATAACCTTGGATGGACAGGAACCCTACAGCAGAGTTTTGGATTCCCGTACATTGGTAAACCGTTCTTAAAATCTTGGAATCAGTAAGGATTTACCCGTTTTGACAAGTTTATTACTGGTTTCTGCTCCTCAAGCATACACCTTGAATTTTTAACATTTTTTTGTTTCTTAAAAAGCTGGTTGTGGGTGTTTTTTATTTTTATTTTTATTTATTTTTTGTTGTCAAAACTCAGTGAAAGCTCCAGATATGGCAAATTGTATATACGCTGAGCCAAACTGATGCCATGTATATAAGTAGATTTTTACAGGGATCAAGGAATCTCTGGGGTAACAGAAGGTCAATTTTGATTTTGATTCTGATTCTCACCAGCTTTAGTGCTTCTTCTCATTTTTTCAGTAAGAATATTATAATTTTCAAATGCTTTTGTAGCCTACTAGACAAAAACTTCTGCATATGAAACTGTAGCAGATGATCATTACCTTGTATTGTAGCTTCTCACTTGAAAAGGGAATAACACTCTTCCAGCCGATTGTGAATACACATTCTGCACAATCATCTGCTCAAATTGTGAATTTTTTTTGAAGAATGTGCCGAAAATGTTGAGCGAATCTTAAAACGACAGTAGGTTATCTAACCTACCATTATGGGGAAGCTTTTTACTGTGCATTTTTTGCTTAACATCTGCTGCCTTGATTATGTGAAAAGTAAAAAATCATGATAAGATTTTTTTGCTTTGTATCTTGCAACAAGCCATTTCTCCCCACATTTACAGTTGTTAGGCCTGTTAGCAAGGATAATGTACATGGGTAGAAACCAATAGGTCCACAAGTTCAGTGTGTGTGTCCTTAGGAAATTTCCTGTAAGTGGAGTTACGAATTTTTATTAATGAAAATTCAGAAACTTAAATCTAATCCTGAAATTGAAGGAACATAACATGATAACATATTCTCAAGCGCAGATAATCTCAACTTAATATCTTCTTATTCCTTAAGTTGGGCACAAGAACGTTCATTGATGACCTAACAATGGTGAAGGATGCATCCTATCATTCATCAAGAGTGTAAAAGCTTCAAATGCGCAAGAACCTGCTTCATTGATGGCTTAATAGAAAGGATTTCCTCCGGTGCAACTTGATCGGCAACTTGGCCCAAGCAATGATACGTGTATTTCATACACTTATTTGGACTGTTAAATAAGAATATTTGTTGATTAATTATTTGAAGTATAGCTTAATTCATTGTAAATATGGCTTTGTAGGTGAACATCGATGATTGTAATGGAATTGGAGAAAAAGAGCAATAAAAGGACTAAAATGAATCACATCTAATGTTTGGGGATTAAAATGCAGATAATCAAAAGTTGGCTCAAAACATGGAACTGATAATCGAAATTGAAAGGACTCAATTGGATAAGAAAATAAGTGAAAGGACCGAAAGAATTGATCAAGGACCTAAAAAAAATAAAAAAATACTTTGGATAAAGTTTAGGCAACTTGGCCCCAAAACACAAACCAAGGCTACAGGCGAGGGCACGCACCTCAGCCTCAACCAAGTGTAGAACTAGGTTCGTGCCATAGTTTGTACTAGGTGTGTGCCTCACTTGAAAAAAAGGAAAAAATTCAAAAATTTTTATTCTGTTTTGGTAACTATTCAAGGCAATCTTTTTTGGCATCCTATAAACTGAAGAGCATCTCCAGAACACAGAGAAGACCGATTTTATCATAGAGAGCAAGAAAAGAGAGATTTTTACATTCAAGAAGTGGAATTTCATCGTTTGGGGTCGAGTTTCAAGCAAAGAATTGAAAATTTCACATTCTTCTCAAGTTTCTTAGTCTCAGATAATGTCTTTTTTTATTCTTTCGTGTAATTTTCATATGGCAATGCTAGGCTAAAGTTTTTATGTATTGGATGGATGACAAACCCTTTTGACTTTTAGTTTTTAGTTCAAGACTTTGTGTTTTTCAATTAATTATTGTATTTTGATTTCAAATACATTAATATTTCATTGTTTTAATGCTTGTGCACCATAAGGATAATTAGTTGCTTATTTGCAGTGTTGAAAAATTCACAGTTGATAGAGGAATACATAGGATATAAATAATAGGAATAATATTTATGGAGTATGCGATCGCATGGGATAATCCAAAATTTAATGTATGTTTTTCATATGAATTTAGACTAATAGGATCGGGTCGTATTAAACATAGGTTTAGTATATCTTGAAAGAGAGTATTAAATAAAATTGGCTTATTGATCATTACAAACCTATTAATTATATTGATCAATACAAGACAAGAATTGGAAATAGAAGTTAATAGGTGGAGTTGAATATCCAATACATTCATCTTGTACTTGGAATAAACCAACTTTTATTTGCATTTTATAGTTAAATTTAGTAACAAAACCAACAATCAATAACTTTAGTATTACATTAGATTGGATTTGATAAAGACTAGTACACTAAAATTAAACATTATTCCTTGTGGGATGATAACTCAACTCAGTTATCGACTCATCATATTTATTACTTATCAACGATTTCGTATACTAGCGAAATTTTATCGAACAAGTTTTTGACACCGTTGTCAAGGAATAACTGATTTAATTTAGTTTATTAGTTTATTAGTTTATATTTGATTTGATTGTTCATTAGTTCTTAAGCTATAACCACATAATCTAATTCTCTTGTGTTTTGTTCTTTTCACACGATCATCAGTGTATCTAAGATTGAGCTCGCACCATTAGATCCCGAGATCGAGAGAACTTTTTGATAGCATAGAAGATAACAATGTGAAGCACGAGAAATGGTCGAGAATCAGAATTAAAATTTGAATCTAATCAAGCCAGGAACTACTTTCGACAGGAGACAATTCAATAGAAGGCTATCATCATTGAAGCCCATATTTTAGTTGGAGATTACGTAAGTCCAATGCCACGTCAATGCAACCTGCAATAATTTATCCGCCATTTGGACAAGCTAACTTCCACATCCGACTAGATGTTATTAATCTTTTCCAAAGTCCCCAAGAAATTAGATTCTTCGAGAAAGCTACTGAAAATCCTCATGAACATATACGAGCCTTTCTAATGTTGTGTGAAGTTATCAACTACGAAGGGAGATCAGCAGACGCATTTCGAATGCGATTATTTCCTCATATGTTGATAGATGTTGCAAGGAAATTGATTCGATCCTTACATGCTGGGAGTATGTTATCTTGGAACGACATGATATAAAAATTCACCATGAAGTTTTTCCCATATTCTCGAGTCTATCAAATTCGGAATAAAGGTCACACGTTTAAGAAGAAAGATATCGAGAGCTATCTAGAAGCTTGGGCTAGGTTCAAGAATCTATTCCAAAAGTATCCTAACTTGGACATACCTAAACAAGCCCATGTGTACATTTTCTACTACAGACTATTACCAGAATATCGAAATATGGCAGAAACTTCAGCAAGTGGTTCAGTATTGAAGATAGAAGTAGATGAGGCTCAAACTTGTATGAAAAGATAGCGAAAAATCAACCCATATAACAACCGACAGGGATACGTCAAAAAAAAAAGAAAAAAAAAAGAAAAAAAAGGCAAAGATACACAATATTGATGCAATGACCGCATTACTAGGATAGATAGAGTTGATTACAAAGAAATTAGATAATTTATCCCAATATGTCAACATGGTATACCAACCACCACCAATTCGAGTAGGTTCTGGGGCAGATTACACTACAACAAGTTATCTTTTTAACTTTCACGCATGTTATTCAACCTGAAAAAGTTAGCTACGCAAAGGATTTTTATTCCAACACTTACAATCCGGGGTGGAGGAATTATCCAAATTTCTAGCTGTCTAACAATCAAGTGAAAACCCAAGAACGACTAAATAAGAGGGGGGGGGGGGGGGAATTGGTTATCTAAATCTTTTTCAAAAATAAATGCTAAATTAATAAATTTACAATTACGACAATGAGCAAGCAAAATAACTTGAAAAATAATCAAGAGAAAGGGAAAGAAGATGTAAACGATATGTTATAGAGGTTCGATCTAATCAACGATCTATGTTACCCGTTATCAAGCTTTTTGTCACGAGCAAGGCCTTTTCCACTAAATGTGATTAACTTATGGTGTAATCCAACCTTTACAACGCTTTCGTGACTTAAGACCAAGGAGCACATATCCTTTTACACCGTTGAGTTTTTTGGGACCTCAACCGACCCACAATCCAAAAAAAAATAAAAAAAATGAAATCACAATTAAAAGCTTTTCTCTTAATTAATTATATGAACTTAATTAAGAATCAAGAGAGAAATAGGTACAACACCTCAATAATTCACAAAAAATATAGCTCAAGTGTTGTATAAGAAAAACTTTAATTGAGATATATGATTTTTACAGATTTTTTATTACTCAAAAGTTTTTCAAAAGTTGAATGATTTAATCTTTTAAGATTTGAAAATTAAGGTAGAAAAGATCAATAAATGCTTCACTTTAATGCTCAAGAATTGTTGCTATGATTGTAGTAGAAAGTGGAGGTATTTATAATCATCAAATGGTAAAAAATTCTATCAATCTGGACATGGGATCCTGACGTCTGCTTGGAATCTGGACGAGTAACTAGTCGTTTGAGAAACGGTCACCGAAATGACCATTGGTGAGTTTATCTAGAAGTCCAGACAACCCTATCAAGACGTTCAGATGGGCAGAAAAATGCCCCTCCAAACTTTTTCCTTCGTGATGAAATTTTTTATGCAGGTACTTGAAGGATTTTCTTATTTATTGTATAGATAAGTATTTTGTAAATATATTATCTTGAAAATCCAGATACTTATCTTTTGAAAATAATTTTTGTGCAAGTATTGTTTGTTGTGAAAGAGTCTCATGCATAAAAATTGTTTGAGTTATGATCAATGCGAAATATTAAAGTGTTTTATCTTTACATTTGAGTACAAAAATGCATCTATAGCAAAAGTTTTCTATCTCTTCTTCCAATTTGATTTTTATTTCCACGCTGTCAACTTGATCGTTAAGCTCCAAAAAGTTTGTCCATGTGCGTGGTTCTTGATCTTGATTCTTGTGTCTTCATCCTTTATTAGTTTCGTGATAAACACTATCAACACTTAAATCCAATTTGTTGAAGTTAAATGTAATTGTTTGTGATAATCAAAACGAGAAGTCAACCATTAGGTAAACAATTTCACCCTTTTTTATTATGACAAACAAGATGATTTGCAATATAAGTATCTAACAAATTGAATAGGACAAAAGAATTAAATATTACAAATACCTTCTTCCTATTGATTTCAACTAAGTTTCCCTTATCAATGCATAAAAGATTTAAGTTCCCCCTTACAAAGT